TAATGCTGCTGCTGTTACATTTGCAAAGAACTTGATCACCCCATATTCTAAATAAAATCATGCTTACTGCAGTGATGTAAAGCTCTGAAGACAGGTTTGGATGAGCCAAAATGGAAAATTTCTAAGGGAAGAATGGCTGATGTTATTGGCACAGTGGTTCCAAAAAGCTTTGGGTAGTGCCAGGTTCAGCCTGAAGCATGAGTACCCAGCATAAAAGGTATAGCTGAACTCTAACCTATGAAAAATAGCAGTTAGAAGCAGTTCTGAAACTTTCTTTAGATAACTCCAAGTTTACTCTATCTCTTCTATGCTTTATTGCTTACATTCAGGGCTTTTTTTCATTTCAGTCAAAAACTAAACCCAAGAGAGTAAAAGCAATTTACAACTGTGTAGCAGATAACCCAGATGAGCTGACCTTTTCAGAGGGAGATATTATTGTAGTTGATGGTGAAGAAGATCAGGAGTGGTGGGTAAGTATTTTGCATTTTCTGTCAGCACACTTTGAAAGTAAGAAATTAAATCTTGGAGGTTGACACTCACTTCATAAGATCCTCTGTCAAATTTCTGAATAACCAGAAAAGTTTCTTCTCATGGAAACCTGAGATGAAATTTCAAAAGTCAAACTTCTGACAAGCTTTTAGCTTTTCTCATTCAGAAAAAAAAACAAACAAAACCCAAAAGAAATCTGATTTGTAGGGTTCACAATACACTGGGAACATAGTCTGTGTAATCCAGACAATTTTTGGTGGAGTGTCAGCAATTTAAGAATCTGCTATTACAGGTGCTATATAGTGGGTATGTGTCTTGGTTTGGGACAAATTTGGAAGGGAACTTCCTCAGGGATGTTCCCTAAAGGGCAGAATTCAGAGGCCCTCCCCACCCCCACCTGTTTGGGAGATAAACATCCTTCAAGAAAACTGAGAAAAACGCTTTATTTAACAAGCAAAGTATTTGCAAGCATAAAAAATGAGTAATATTAAGCAATAAAACCTCCTGCTGTTCTGAAGAGATGGCAAATTCAGAAAGTCCTTGTCGTGAGGTGTAGCTCATCTCACTCAGTCTCTTATCAGTCCCTCCTACACTGGAAAATGCCATCCCGGGCCCTGGAGGGCCACAGGCATAAGGTCCCAGTGCTTTTCTGGATTTTTGGTCCAAAGCTGGGCTGAACAGTTCCAAGAAAAAGAAAAGCCACAGCTCAGGGAACTTCTCTGCCTCAGCTAGCTAAAAAAAATTAACTAAAAGCAAAGGAGAGCCCTCTCCTGTTGTCCATGCTGCAGACAACACAGTCCAGGAGAGACAGCTGGAGCTCTTATCTCTGTTTTGAATACAGCCACCTCAGACATTCCACTCCTTCTCCCCCCTGCCCCCACACTTTTGCTCTCAGATCGAGTTTTAAAGGTGCAGAACTTATTTCTGGACTGAACAGATGAATGGGGATACAAATACAATACAGCATCATAAAGTCACCCCAGGACAGCTTCAGAGGAGACCTTTGTATTGTCCTCAGTCTTCAGATGACTAGGACTGAGTCTATTTGAGCTGGGAAACTATCTCAAGTTTTACATTCCAGAGGTTAAACCATTCCATTGGTTAAAGCAAAATTTTGGAAAATTATTGTGCATGAAAACACTTGCCCTAATCTGCTAGCTAGTGAAGAACAGACCTTTAGATTGCACCTAAATTGACAATAATGCTGTATAAACACAAATAGATTAATGTAAAACCTGAAACTGTTGAAGCTTGATCCATCCTTTTGCCTCACAGTGACGGTTAAAGAAGCAGCTCAGCAGAGGCCAAAATGTGGGCTGCCAGGCATTACAGATTGCACTGGAATCATGCAGCAGTGGTACTGCAGTAAGAAGTTTTATATTCAAAGAACTGGATAAAACTTTTGCATTTTACAAAGACACAACTTACAGCTGAAAAACATGCACCCTATAGGACTGAATTTTCTTATTGGCAGGAGAAAAGTAGCACTACCGCAGAAAAGATTTGGTGGGAGGCTTGTACTACAGGCAGGAAGGGCATTTTGGTGATACTGAAATGTCATTTTGAGATTTAACTTGAAAAATATCTGCACTCTTTCAGATTGGTCATATTGACGGAGATCCCAGTCGAAAAGGAGCTTTCCCTGTATCATTTGTGCACTTTATTGTTGACTAGATTGCTACTGATAAGTGGAGACATTTCTCATTTCCAGCAGTCACAGAAATACATTTTGTTCTATTTCATTTCACCTACCTATCTGCCAGAGCACTGCCCAAGTCCTAGGTACTGTAGCTTACTTTTTTATTGCCATTGTTCTTATTTTGGGACTTTTAAACTTTTTTCTACGTGAAAACTTCTCATAAGTAGTTTACACTTTTAAAAAGAAAAACAACTCTTCCTGTATTTTTCAAGGTGAACTGAAAAGCTTTAACAATCAAAACCCATGTGTCTAAATATCACAACATTATGAATGTTCTTATTGATCAATTCACTGTAATTTTATTCTCTTTTGTAACATGACAGTACAACAGTTCAGTGTTGCTTCCCCAAAGAAATTGTGTGTGCATCTACCAGGGCAGTGAATTTATCCAGTTCTTGACACCATTTGAAGTGTTGGAACCAAAACATGCAAGCTGCTGTGTAGTTCTGAAATAGACTCATTCAGTAGCTTGCCATACTGGCTGTCATCAAGGATGCCAACAGTTGCAGAGGAAATTGTTTTAATTATGTGTCTTTGGCCAGGTGAAAGTGAAAAAGTATTTCAGTTTACCACAGGAGAAACTTCTTTCTTTCAGAATGGATGTAGATATTTGCTTAAAGTTATCTGAAATCTGTGTTAGTCGTTGAACTTTCTAGTTCTAATTTTGTGAGCTTGGGACTGTTTTGTTTTTCTATGCTGCATGTGTGTAGAACCTGTTTTTTGAATGTTCTTTATGTATGTTACATCCATTTTGGTCATTTAATGTGACTACTGCTGGTTAACTAAACTATGGCAATATTAATGAGTTACTACATTAACTCAAGGATTTGAAAACTGCACTTCCTGAAATGTACTTAACTATGATGATGGATTGCAGAACATTTCGTACGTTTGTCTCATTATAGCATTTAAACTTTGTTTTTACATTCTTGAATTTTCTTTAAATTGTCCAGCAATGTGTTCACAGAGAGAGGACATATTTGGTGGAATATTTAGGTAATTGTCCTTGGTCAATAAGATACCTGACACCTCACAAGTTCACTACATTATGTTCTGGTTTATGAAATTTGTGTGCCACTACCTTGCAAACAATGATAGTTTGCCAACTCACTCTGTATTTATATAGAACACCCACATATATGGTAGCTACACTGTTGTTAAACTTGTTTTACTGATTCGTGAACAAAAGCTAGACCATGGATAGTTCCCAGTTGGTTGATGGAATATAAAACACCAATACAGATCTGACATCATTTTGATGTTTGTATATTGTGAAATTGTACCAGGTTTTACTTATGCTACAGGAAACAACTGAGGCATAGGATACAGAAAATCAATGTCTAGGTCACATTGGCTTTGATCACGTTATGTGAACATTGTATCTCTAGATTTATCAAGAGAGCTTTGAATTTCTGCCAAATGGTGCTTAAATTGGCCATTTCATACTGGAAGGAATGGAAAACAGGCCACCACCACCATCTGTGCTTATTTGGAGAAAAACCACATTGCAAAAGTGCTGGAAGAGCAACACTGATCTCACCCTGTATCACCCTTCCTAAATGGTACCGTTGGTTGATGCCTCTTGGGCGTGTGGGTACAACCACGTAGATGTGTAACTTTCACTTCCTAGATGCTGTTGCTGCAGTATAAATGGGGAACAAACTGGAATGTTTCAAGATATTTTTATTGCAAGTTGAAGCAAATTAGTCTGTATTTTCAAAGTTCCCAGTAAAATGATAGAGTAATAGTTTAGCACTACAGTTTTATTCACTTACTGATATGTTCAGTTTGCAACACTATTTTGTATGTTTCTATCCCTGATAGAGTCTAGAGAGTAAATGGGCATATTATTTTGCACAGATCTCCTAATGTACAGTATTTTTAACACAGAATCTTATAGTATATGTAACAATTCGTAACTTTAAAAAATGATACAAATTTCCCTTGAGTTCTGCTAGAAGAGGAATAGAGTAAAATGTCACAACTTTGTTCACTGGTCACTTAAAAACTAGGAAACTTGGAGACTACAACTTAATAGCACTAACAGTGCAGACAGATAAAAATACCAAGGACCAATAAAAAGCAGCTAAGTAAAATTTATCCCTTGATTTTCTGTGTATCTCAAAAGGTTTTCTCCTCTGGCAGAGAAAAACTAAATTCTAGAGCCTGTAGATATCTATTTATAATATAAAATTAAGAATTTTAAGTCCAAAATTTTGGCATATTTCATACAACTTTTCAAATCTGATTCAAAAAATCTGTTAATAGACAGACTATTAGGTTGCTGTGTTAACTGTTTAAAAAGGAGCAAGTGACACTTAAAATGCAGCTTAGAATGCTATGAGATGTATAATATTCAATTCAGTTGTTTTTATTTTGTTTAGTTGCAGAGCAACTGTATATATTGTATAACCTAAAATCAACTCTTATTTTCAATGTCCTGGATGCAGTGATTTATAATTAGAGCATGATTAATAAATTTTACTCTTGTTAACCAGTCAAATGTCTGGAAAAATAAAACTACTTTTAAAATCACCTTTTCTGCTTCTCTTCTGTTCATTTGCATTGATAACACAGTATTGTTTTTTAACGCATAAAAATGACAAATATAAACAAGTATCACTTGTGGAAAAAATGTATTTCTTGTGAATTTTAGCTGAACAGAAAAATTGTAGATGGCACATGTCAGATTAAATTAGAGGGGTAAAGCACCAAATAACTCCCTCTTACTATTTTGCTTTTGTTTCCTTGTAATATCTGGATTAAGTAGAATCAAAGTCTATATTAATTAATTGTTTCTCAGACAACGAGGTAGAAGCAACTGTCAGTTTTATTTTACATTTCTGCAATATTGACATTAACATACAAAACATGATTTAGGAAAAAGAGAAATTGTGTTAAATATAAAATCCTGTAATGTCCTGGACACTGAAGATGGAATCTTCAAGTCATGTTTGGGGAATCCAGAGTACCATGTGCAAGGCTGTGTGGCTCTTTGCACAGTGAGCCTTTCCCAGGGCTGTGTGTGGCTCCAAGCTGTCCATGGCGTCATGAGGAGCCCTGGTGCCTCCCACACAAACACTGCTGCCGAAGGAAATCAGGACTTCTCCGACATTAAAACTGAATCAAAGGCTGTAGACAACACTTTGCAAATGGCTTGTGCTTGTTCCTAAAAAACCCAAACACACGTTAAGGCTTTTTGAAGAACTTCTAAACTTCTCAAAACTCATTTTAAGCAGAATGGGTCCTTCATTTTGCTTTGTGAGACCAGATATCATCTATCTGGCCTGCAATGACACATATAAGCTGTCTTACACGAGCTCTTTTGAACCAAGTCAGAGTTGCTGGCTGTCAGCATAGCACGGCACCAGCACTGAAAACGTAATTTCTTATGTTCCTCCAGAGCTGCCATACAAGGGTCTGTGTCATCACAGCATCCTGATAATGAATTCTCCTACTTGTAAGAAGGGATCACCTCCCTTGCTTAAAAATATGGCTGCATCCTCCGTTACCAGAATTGTTACTCCATCCCTTCCTGCTCCATATATTAAGAGGTTTTTGTCTCTGGAAGTACAAGTGGAGATTGTCCATGGGAGCTGCCATAGCACTCTTTGGACTGGAGAGAGCTTTCTCAGGTGAGTACAGTCACTGGCAATTTTAGGGCATGTAGGTGTTTTCCTCAAAGCTGATCCAATGTAGGCAGCAGAGCTGTTTTCCCCTCCTCAACCAGCACATGTTTATTTTTATTTTTTTTTTAATTAAGCAATCCTACTGCCAAAAAGCCTTCACAAGGGCCTTGGGTTTTAGAATCTCCCTTTACACTCAGAATTCCAATACTTAATTTAAATACTGAAAGCATAAACTCTTACCAAACTATTGCATTGATATACCCAGAGGCTGCATTCTTCAGAGGCTGCATCTGTTGTCTTCAAAGCCAGTAAACTCTTTCCTGCTCCCAGACCATCGTCATAGCACACCATCCGTACAATCAAATAGAGAGCATGCCTATGTAACACATCCTGAAAGCACATGCCAAATAAAAGTTACTCTGGAACAGTGCAACAGTTTTTCAGTTTTCCACATTTTTAATCTCACTTACAAAAGAATACTTCAGATTTATTTACAGGAGAAAAGTTTTCCTTGGTAAAATTATTTCTTTTTGAGAGTTTAGTCAAGATTTTAAAAAGTGGTGGTTAACAACAGATTTAGCTTTAATTTTTGCTTCTATTTTAGAAGTGTATTCCTATGCAGACTATGAAGACAAGCTGAGAAAGTTGGAGTTGTTCAGCCAGGAGAAGAGAAAGCTCTTGTGGAGATTTTGCGGTACTTTCTAGTACATGAAGGGGGCCTGCAAGAGAGCAGGAAAGGGACTTTCTACAGGGGCATGTAGTGAAAAAAAAGGGATTTCAAATGGCTTTAAACTGAAACAAAGTAGATTTATAGTAGGTTATTGAATTTAAGGTAAGAAATTCATTACTATGGGAGGCACTGTAACATGTTGCTCAGAGAAAGCTGTGGATGCCCAGTCCCTAGAAGAGTTTGAGGTCAGGCTGAAGGGGGCTTTAAGCAACCTGGTCTAGCGGGAGGTGTCCCTGCCCATGGCAGGGGGGTTGGAAATAGAGGATCTTTCAGATCCCTTCCCACTCAGCCCCTCCCTTGACTCCATGATGACATTCCTGGCCATAATCTGAAAGTGCACATTTGCTTCCCACCCTCACTAGCCCTCTGTGACAGGTGGGACACTGTTGTTCTGGCACTGAGGTAACTTAAAACAACTTCTTACTTTCCCAGGATTTTTCCAGACAATCCCCTGACTGTTCCCAGAAGAGGATATAGACAAGGTCATTTGCTTTGGGGGGCAGTAGCCACATGGCTGTAGCCAGGCTGTTTGTGACCTAAGCCACAGGATGTGTCCTGACTCTTCCATAGATCTCATCTGGGAGAATTCTACTCTCCATCAGAGCTGCAGGATTTCCACCATAGTCCCAACACTTCTGATTTTGGCCATTCCAGAAAGAGATTGGCAGAAGACTTCCAGTACAAGGTCTACCCTACACAAAGCCGTTCTTCTCCAGCCATCCTGCCCTCTGATCGTACTCATGTGGTCTATTCCAGTCATACCATCTCCAGGGTCTTAGGAATTCTAGACAACTCTGTTTTTGTGTTCTGTCAGCTGAATGGTCTAAAGAAATGCCCACTTTGATACAGAATCTGTAAAAATGAGCAGTGAGCGTGCTGCCTGCCTCGAAATGCTGGAGGGAGAGCCCTCCACCAGAGCCCTAAGGTCACCTTGCTGAAAAACATCTCCATCCTGATGCTCACTCAGCTCATTGCTCATGTTGCTCTCACCATCAGCATCTGCCGCACTCAGGACAGCTGGAGCCTACCTGGAACTTACTGGATCCACCCTCCCATCTCTGTAAGAAAGATGCCAAGACTGTTCACCAAATTACTAGTAAATCCCAAGGGTTGCTTGCTTGGAACTTGCTACAGTGCTAATGTGTATGTGGATTATCACTAAAAGAATTCTTTTGAGTATGGTCTCCTTGTAAATTAATTTCTTCCCATCCTTTCCATATCTTGGAACTCTGTGAAAAAACTTCGGTGAACTAACACAATGAAGGACAAATTAAATGACACACAGTGACAGAGATGTAAAAAGCCAGAATTTGGGGAACAATGTAATACAATAAATTGTCAGTGCAAGCTAGTTTAACAACAAAAGGCTTTATCTGCTTGTGTGTGCTTTCAGATTGAAGACAGAAAACTGATGCATGAAAGTCTTAAATTAGCTATTTGATCTTTATCAAAGCACAAAGGAATTTAAATAATAGCATAACCTATGTTTTTCATGAGAATTAAGAATTTAGGAGTGCAAAAACAGAATTCAATAGAATTCAAAGTCTAAGTAACAAGTATTACCCTTCCTGCCAGGCATTAGAAACAAGTGTTTTATTTTCTGAAGGGACCAAGGAAAACTTTTTGGCTCTCTTCAGAGCATTCAACTATTAAGCAATTCTATTGTCCATGCTCATACTTGAGGCTTTTATGAACAGGCATCGCTGGGTTGTTGATGGGTCAAGGCTTCATAAGGCCAAGTATTTATGGTATCTGGGGCTCTGAAGGCAACCAGAAGGAAACCACATGGCTGCAACACAAAGCTACACAAAGGCAAATGGAGGGCCCTGGGGAAGAGACCGGATTTTTATTTTTAGCGAAGAAGCTACTCGAAGTGCACTAAAGGAAAATAAACTACATGTAGGAAATGATGCAAACAAAAAGTAGGCTTGATCAATAAAGTGGAATCATGAGGCTTTAATGCTGGAGTGAACTCTTAACTTTTGGATTAGGAGTGGAAGGATGGAACTTAAAAGAGCTGGGCAGCTCAGGTATTCTTAGAAAAAACCCCATCCTTTGTTTTTCCCTCTTCACAGAAACACCAAGAGGAACTGCCTTACTCTATCTTGGGCTGAAGAACATATGGTTTTGGCTGCCACAGTCACACTACATTCCCCCATTAAATAATGAGAGGACAGCCACAGAGGAAGTAATATGTGCCCAAAGAACATTACCAAAGGCTTGCTTGCCTTTCTTCTGGTGCTCTGTCTCAAAAGGAATGGCTTTTTGTCATAAATCCTACCAGGAAAACACAGCCTGTGGAGATAGGACATAAAGCAGCGCTGCTGCGAGAGCTTGTTTGTTTGACTTTTACTTAAAGCCAGAAATGACATTTTGGTCACACAGATCATCTACCAGAGAAATAAATGAAAGCACTTTTCAGCTCTCATCAGAAAGACAAGTTGGGTGAAGCACTTACATACTGATCAGATGTGGAAACTTTAATGCCGTATTTGGAAACTCCCATAATAAACTCCTCTTCACCTGGAACAAAAGGTAACTTTCCATCTTGCTTTGGAGGAAAACAAACAAAAGCCTTTAGTGCAGACAGAAGAACATGAACAATAAAGATACATAACAGCAAACATATTTATGTGTACTTGGGTGCACTGGGTCACCACAAATCTTGCTCAGATCCTGCTGTACGGGGTCTGCCCAGCGCTCATGCACTCGCCCAGTTTCTTAGTGTTATGTGAAGTACATTCAGGGGAGACTGGACAGTAGAAAGAATTTCTTTACTGATAGGGTGACCAGACATTTGAACAGGCTTCCTAGAAAGGTGGTTAATACCCCAAACCTGTCAAGTGTTCAAGAGGCATTTAGACAATGCCCTTTACAACACATTTAACTGTCTGTCAGCCCTTAAGTGGTCAGGCAATTTGGACCAGTGGTCACCATGGGTCACTTCCAGCAGAAACACTCTATTCCATCCTGCTCTATTCTACCCAAAATATTACATGGTTCCAGAAAGGAATTTATCATTTCAGGGGAGAGTTTGGCCCTGTGGTCAAATAAGGTTGGCTGAAAAATCATGCATGGCCTGTCATGCTGCACTGACCCAGGTGATCTGTGTTCCACTGGCAGCACTTTTACCGTTTGGCTGCAAAAATGGTTTTAGCACATTCAGAAAGATCAAGTTGCTGCACAACAAACAGACATTCCGTGCTTTTAAAAATATATAATCAGCTACCTAATGAGAACAACCAGTTATGGCTTTTTGTACAGGAATAAGTACAAGCAACCAGAGCTTGGCAAGGATGACCCAAATATTATTCAGGTTCTTTGGTCACAGGTTCATGAGTGATTGCAAGCAGAAACTTGACATTTTCCTCTATGGGAAAACTTGACACTACTGAAGAATCTGAGGAGATATTCCTTCCTGGATACTAATCCTAATAGTGCTGGAGGCAATGCTACAGCTTTCGGCTGGGACTTGTTCCATAAGGACTCATGAAAAGGGCCTTGGCACTGAGCCTGCTTCTGCAGAACAGTTCTCTGGGTGCATCTTCTCCAGTTAATTAAAATTATAGAACTGTGATGACTTTTGAGATTCATAGGTTAAGTATACCACTTTCTTCAAGTAAGCCTAAAATTTACAGATGTCAAACCATGGGATAAATAAAAAAACCACACACCTAAGTTTAAGATGTTTTGACTTTTTTGGTATTGCCTTTTGTAACCCACTTACCTGTGCAACATCTATGTAATTTATTAAGTCCAGTGGCCCTTCAAGACTTTTGCTCTCATTGTATTTCAATTTTTCAATGGCACCAACATATTTAACTCTGAATTCTGCACATGTATCAGAATTACTATTGCTTTGTCCTGCAACAAAGTAAAACAAAGCCATTCTGAAGACTTGCAGAACTGTAATGCTCTTCTAATTGCTGTTAACAGGGCTAACATATGAAATTCCCTAATTTTGCAGACTTTCATCCAACACTTATCATAGTGTATTAACTCCTTTTTAATGAAATGTACTGGGTTGATTTAGAATAGACCTTGGTAAAGGCAACAGTTTCACACGCACCCATGATATGGCATGTTTATACCAATTCAAATTTGTAGTCAAAAACCCTGAATCAGAAAACATAGAAAAGCTGGTTCTACTTTTTGATGTCTATTTATTTCAAATTAACTCTTTGGTCAAACAGTGATACAGTGTAATCTTGTAAACAAGTAAAATTAAATGTTATTTCCATTATTTTGGTGTAGATGTAAACTTAGAAAAGCAGAAAACAGCCATCCAAAAAGCTGTACATGATTTGTGCTGGTAACAGACTGGTAACACAACTAAGTTCTTCCTCAGACACTTCACTTTGAAAACAGTGACTTAATCCTAGATGAATTATTAATAATAGAGGCCTAAGGCTGTGCCTGCATGAATCACCAAGCTACCTAATAGATTCACTCCTGATTACAACATATCACTGAACACAGAATCACAGCAGATTACTGAAAATACCTGTCTTAAGTTTTTGCATTTTTTGCCGTTTTATACAAAGACACAAAGTTAATCCTGCTCCATCCAGACCTGCTCAAGCTCTGATTACATACCTGAACTTTTTGTGGAGTCTGTATCTAGGCTGGCCACAGTACTAGACCTTGAAAGTCCCCCAAGACTGGAATCTACAGACTAAGATAAAAAATCATCATCAGAAGAAAGCTACTGAGAATGTGTTAACAAAGCACTTCTAGATGTCCTGCCTCAATTCTTTTTTTTTTTAACCCTACATTTTATGTTCCAGTTACTTCAGCAGAACTGGAAAATGGGGAGGAAAAAAAAATACCACCTGTTTCTTTCCTGATGTTCTTTCTGCCTCAATGCAGACTGGACTGATAAAAGTTTATCAGAAACCCTTGAGAAGTCCACAGATATTTTGAAAAAAGGAGGAAATGACAGAAAAAGAGAAAATGAACCTTAAGGTTATGTCCAGAGAAAAAGGAAAAATAAACCTTAGGCTATATCCAAACTTGTCTGGTACTGCATTTTTACATGAAGAAATTGACAACTACATGCTTGTCACCAATACTTGAAATAACACAGCAGAAACAGCACCTTGGAAAATCCAGAATATTCAACTGATCATTCCAAAACCGATTATACAAAACAAACACATTATTCAAAGTTAAGAATACTTTTAGAGATACTGAGAAACCAAAAAGTACTGAAGAATAAACTCATTCTTGGTACTTGGCACCAGGTGCTCTCTTTAAAGACAAAATTTAAGAACAAATGTACTAATTTTCCTTCCAACCTTACTATGTGCTGCCAGAAAATCTTGTGTTTGTGCAATTTGCTGTGGAAGTGGCTAAGTATTCATCTCAGAATCCATGGGCTTTATGATGGATATGTATTTTTAACTCTCATAACGCAATCTGAGGAATGGAAGTAGAAAGTTCTTCTTGTGGAAAATGGCATTTTATGGAAATCACATCCTACCATCAGTGCAAGTGAACCACTGAACTGGTTACTTGTAAGAAACCAAAGTGCTTCACAAAGAGAATGAACAAACACCACATTCAGCTTACCTTGCTTTTAGTGCTGATTTCACTGCTTTGTGAGCTGCTGCTGCTGTGTCGCTTTTTTCCTTTTCTAAACATTTTTTCATAATTGGATCAAGGAAGATCTTCTAAGTAGAAAAAAATAAAAATTAAAGCCTGTCATATCATTAAGGGAAGGAGGTCCAGGCAAATACCAGTGACTGCATCCAAAGCGGACCAAAAGTGGAAATTTGCACAGGACTCTGTGAATGGAGGTAGGAATTCTACTCTGATGCTCTTCACGTGTGACTGGGGAAAGTTCCTCAAGCTCTCTGCTAAAACTTCCCTATCTTCCTGAATTGCCAAAAAAGGCTACTACCTAGTTTACAGACTGTGGCAAAAGTCAGTTTCTAATCCACACACTGATTTAGAAATAAGGCAAAATTTAGAATTTATATTCCCACCTAAATGTTTTAGGTGATTTTTATTTGTGACTTCAATCTAAGTGCCCAAGTGCCCTATAAAGTGCATACAACACATTCCTTGCTCCAATGACTGTGTTTCCAGTAAAAAAAAAATTAAAAAAAAAATCTATCCCTCATCCCTCCCCCGCCGACTAAACACCCCAAACAAACAAACAAAAAGCCCACAAAAAAACCCCAACCTACTTTTGAAGAACTACTGACTGGAATACTCATAGAAGCCGCCATTACCACTTAACGTATTTGTGAAAATTCAGAAAAATGAGTGGTACACTTACTGCACTACAACTGATTTACTGGGACTTCTGAGCGCATTCCAGAAGCATATGTCATGTGCCTGTCCTACTACAACCCTGCTTCACTAAACATTTGGCTGGCCAGTGTCAAGTAACAGATGCTGGCTCCCTATTTCTCTGAAACCCTATTTCTCAGCTTCAGAAATAATTATTTTCATTACAAAACTTCAGAAACTTTGAGCAGGTGGAAAGAAAGAGGATAGTGGGGGATGGCAGCCTACGGAAGACAGCTCACACTGCAGAAAATAATGGAAGGAGCACAAGGCGGAGCCGAGATGCGCGATGCGGTGATGGGTCTCAGTCCCTAGGCCGCCGCTGTGTCCGTCACTAAGCAAACACTGGGTCCCTGGCGGACTAAAAGCCACTCTCGGCAGCCAGCAGTGCCCAGGGCAGGGCTGTTCCCAGCACATCCCCGAGCCCCGGCCTCCCCAGCTTCAAGCACGGATGTGCCAGCGCCTCCTGCACAGCGCCTGCGGCCGCACCAGGAGCGCGTCTGCCGATTCTGAGCGGCCGAGGAGGAGGAGGCTCAACACCGACTGCTCCGGAGCCCCCTGGGTGCCTCACACGAGCCCTCAGCAGCTCCCGGGCTTTCCGCGGAGCACCTCTGCGCCTGCGGATGCAGGGAGCGGCCTGGGAAGCCGGGCAGGGCAGCACCGCACCCCGCCCTCGCTTCTCTCCCCGTTCCTCCCTCCGTCCGTGGCCGATAACCCGACAAGTGACAGAGCGATGAGGCCGCTGCTCACCGGGCGCGCCGGGCCCCGCTCGCTGCCGATGCCGC